GGAGCATTCCCAAGTATGTTGTTTTTCTTGATAAATAAGTGTAATGTACATAAAGGGTTATTGAACAATGCAATATCGGGGGGGAAAACACTGCAGTCTTTCGTTTATGAATATTGTGACAGAGATATCGGCCATTGTCTCTTGCTTTATGTTTACATGATTATTTCTACGATACTTGTTTCAGAATTGTGTTTTAGCCAAACATTATTATTACTCAGTATTTAGTGTCCACGTATTCCGCAGAGTTTTACAATAGAGGGAATTCAAACAAATTCTAAACACATACTGATACAAAAGGAAAAGAGGACCCTGCCTGTCAACTTAAAGGAACACTATAGGGTCAGGAATAGTCCTGACATTATAGTGTTAAAAACACCATCTGGCCGCCCCACCCCCTAAATATAGTAAAATCTTACCTTTATTCCTGTCTGCTGGTGCTGACTCTGCAACTCATCTGCTTCTTTGATTAACATAATCAGAAGTGATTCTCAGCCAATCACAGTGCTTTCCCATAGGACTGGCAGACACTGTCACAGAGGCAGATCAGGGCCAGCACAAGCCAAACACAGCCCTGGCCAATCAGCATCTCTTCATAGAGATTGTCTGCATGCAGAGGGAGGAGACACTGAATGTTAGTCACACTGTGCATCACTGTCACAGGAAGCACCTCTAGTAGCCACCTGAGGAGTTTCCAGTGGAGATATCCCTTGGCTGTAATGTAAACATTGCATTTTCTCTGAAAAGACCGTGTTTTCTGCAAAAAGCTTGAAGGGACTAATTATACTCACAAGAACAAATACAATAGATACAATAGGCTGTAGTTGTTGTGGTGATCATAGTGTCCCTTTAAAATCTAGTGGATACAGTTATTTTACACACATTTCTAAGCAACATAACGTGTGAAAACTAATGGTTATAACGGAGAGTTGATGCAAGAGGTTGCAGGTGGTTGCTTGAAGTCAATGGCCAGAAATCTGGGAAAAATTAAATAGATAAGGTTAGTGATAGCTGTAGGATCATTCTATAAAGTTAGATGGCCCATGGGTGCGTGGCTATTGTTGGGCTTTGGGCTTGGTTGCTGAGGAAGTCACAGTGCAGGGACAAAGGAAGGAAATTAAAATAATTTTGATAAGTAAGCAACAGGCTTTTTTGTTGAGAGATGCACTAGGTAGAAGTAAAACACAGAAACTCTATTCACCTAAAGATTTAGAACGTATATACACACAAAACTATGAAATGGATACAAGAGACATATTGATAGTTGTAAAATATTGTAGGATTATTAGCTAAAGAAATGCACAAACAGCCTGGGATTTCACTCTTGATTGGAGTGTGCCTTAAGTGCCCGCACAATATGTTGCAAAACTTTGAACTTGATTACTGAGGGAATCGGGGTGCAGAATCTTAGCATTCACTCTCTCCATCTATGCCTTCCCTGCATGCCTTTAATATCTGACTTTTAACATTAAAACACTGACGTTTGCTTTTTAATAAAGTTATGTTGTTTTGATTATTCCCTATACAGAAAGTTACCCATGATATGGATATGTGCTATGGCATGATGGGAAGTCTGTTCCGCAGCGGGTCTCGACAGACTTTGTTTGCAAGTCAGGTGATGCGCTACGCTGACCTTTATGCTTCGTCATTCATCAATCTTCTATATTACCCATTCAGCTACCTGTTCAGAGCTGCACATGTATTGGTGAGTCCACCTCCAACTATTTTTGTATAGTATTTTCACTGGCCACTGACAGTCCAGTTGGATTCACGGAGAACCGGTGCCACCTAGTGGGCTGGCTTTGCAATACAAGGATTTTAGCTATCAAATAAAATACACAACAATAATAATAACAAAGTATTTAGCCAGGAAAGGTACATTCAGATTACTCTGGTTTCCAAGTGTGTCCTGGGGATGCTACATTTGCCCAACATCCAGGGGTTATTACTATTACCTAATTTAATGGTACTCTACTCTAATGGTACTCTACGCACACAGTTGCAAACTCCACTATTAACAATAGGAAGCCCTTTAGAGTATATTCAGTACAGTGACCAGGTTTTATGGCTTCCCTAAAACTCCAAATCCATTCAGTTACAGTTGAAGGGACACTATAGGCACCCAGACCACATCATCTCATTGAAATGGTCTGGGTGCAGTCTTCCTGTGCTCTTAACCCTGCAGTGTAAAACATTGCAGTTTCTTTATATAGCAGGGTTAAGACTGACTCGAGTGTTTGTCTACCAGACAGATACTAAAGGCGTTTCCTGCAGTTACACAGAGTTTAACTCCGTGAAATGACACTGGATATTCAAACGCTGCGCGTGAGGACGACCAGCGTCTTCAAATCCCCCGTAGGAAAGTATTTATAATGGGGAAGGACTAACCAGCTGCCACACGTGAGCGTTGAAGGAGGCGAGGTGGAACCAGCCCCGAGGGAACATGGTGTTGATGAGAGGTTAAGTGTTTAAAGTTTATTTTTGTTTGTTTTTTAACCCTTTCCTCACTTGGGGGGCGGGACAGTAGCTTTATGGCTGAGTGACATTATAGCTGTAGGAACGTTAGTTTTGTATTCCTAACGTTATACTATTCCTTTAAGTTGAACCTACTTTGTGTTCTGTATGATTTTGATAAAAGTAAACCAGGCCAGGCCAGAATTGTAAAATTTCAGCCCCATAATAGTACTATAATTACAAAAATAATGTAGGAACATGGTCCAAGAATGGATATAATTTATTTAAAGATGACTTAGTAAGTTAGTAAAGAGTGCTATACTGTAAGTTGCACAAGAATTGGGTAAGTTAAAGGTTCTTTGTAAATTTCCCTATGAGATACAAGCACAGTTACCTGGACTTTTATGTTGTAGCAGAATGTAAAATTATTATTTTAATTTTTTTACGTTGCACTTGAACTTACGTTGGTATGTTTTTGAATCTATGATTAGGCCAGCATTTATTTATTTATTTCTCTGTTTTGTAATACATTTTTTTTTTCCCTAAGATGCCCCATGAATCGACTGTCGAGCACATTCACATGGACCTTAACGAATCCGAGTCGCCAATGTCCACGCGTAACCGCTCTTCTCTTGATTTCAAGGATTCTGACTTTAAGCGCCATCATTTGACCCGCTCCATCAGTGAGATCAAACCCCCCAATCTCTTCCCTCAAACTCCCCAGGAAATCACACACTGCCACGATGAAGACGATGACGAAGAGGAGGAGGAGGAGGAAGAAGAAGAAGAAGAAGAAGAAGAGGAGGAATAATAATAAAATGGTTAAAAAGAAAATTGATCATACGGAACAGCAAATCATCACGGCAGTGTTGTAACAACAAAAACAAAAGGAAATCACTGAAGTGTTTCAATTGGAAGATATTCCGCCCGTGAGACATGTAGTGTTTTATTGGACCCCAACAAATACTTTCTGCATTATTTTATTTTGTTCTCTTTGTTATTGTGTTCCCGTCCAAGATTTATAAATGCAAAACAACATTTACACTTAATTATTTTAACTTTGTACACATTTATGCAAGTGTACTATAAGTGCAACATGTCTCCTTTGTGAGAGACGGTATTTACTTTTGATGTTTATTTCTCTGGTATGTTTACTGTTAATCCTTTTGCATTTTTAGAAATCAGAGAATGCGTGCAATGGTTTGGACAGAGGGTGTTACAGTCTTCTCCATCACTGAAAAGGTTGTAATCGCGAATACTTCATGCCTTGCAGATTCTAGAAAAAAAATATTCTGAAATCTTATCAGACCGCAGGGTGGGATAGACTTTCAGATCAGTCTCTGAATATGCTGTAATTCTGACAGTGCATGGATGCAGGAGAGGACATCTTTAAAATAGGCACCTGAATTGATCTATAATCCATGTTATAAATAGCAACGTTTTTATTCTGTATTATTTGAACTCAACTGTTGTGGTTTTTTTTCTTGTATAAAGAAAAGCACAGTTTTTTGCAAAGTAAACAAAAATGAAAATTCCAGTTGCAGAATCAATGTAGAGATTTGTTTGGTTTTGTAGTTTTATTGGTTCTCTCATCCCCCCCACCCCCTTGCCCCCCATGATGTCGATAACCCTTATATTTATGGGGAATTGCCCGTAGAACAGTGATCAATCAATAGTTAAACATTGCGTGATTATGTTTTGCATTACAGCATTCTCTGCTTCTACTTCCTGTTAGGAAAAGAAAGAAAGATTTATTTTTCTTTTGTGTGAGTGATGTAATACCCAGACTTGGAAGCTTAGAAAGACCCACTTTACACCGTGATGAATAGCACAATGTTTCAGCATTTTTCTATTGGAAACAAGACTTTGGAAAAAGCTGAAGCCTATTTCCAGACGATTTCTAATTTGGAAATGTATTTGTGCTTGACGAAAGACATAATATATTGTCAAGAAACCTAACCGCAAAATACAAGTTTATTCAATATATTAGGAAAATTCTTCAGAAGTGCATTCTTTGGGGCAATTTCACCCAGCTATCACAAATTGTAATATTCACTTGTTTTACGCTAAAAGCGTACATGGTTTTTCTTAATCCTAAATTATACATTAAAAACCTGCTTAATTCCAAACATTCAGAACAGGTAGACCTCACATACGACAAGTATACTTCCTACATCTTAGGTGTAATATGTAGGCTAGATTTGTTTATTTATGCAATTTTTTTAAATCTTATATTTTTGTTATTTCTGGGGGCGTCTCTTTAGCTCTATAACCCCACTTTCTTCCTCTCCCTTCAAACCTACAGTATTGCTATTTTTTTCTCAATAAATACAGCTGTTCCTGGTTTTATGGCTTAGGTTTATGGGAGTTGTAGTTGGTCTACTACAGTTTAATGGCAGCATTTGAACTAGATCAGTGTATAAATGTATGTGTAAAAGAAAAAAATAAATACATATATGTGTGTGTGTGTGTATATATATGTGTGTGTATATATATATATATATATATATATATATATATATATATATATATATATATATATATATATATATATATAAACATATATATACACACACACACACACACACACACTATATCCAGGATAGTGACCGCACTCCAAGGACTTGTAAGAAAACGTTTGAAATAATGCTTAACTTTTATTGATTCATTGTAAAAAAAAAAAAAAAGGTCGACGTTTCAATCCCACCAACGGGACAGCCGGAAAAAAAAAAAAAGACCCTTGGTGGGACTGAAACGTCGACCTTTTTTTCAATGAATCAATAAAAGTTAAGTATTATTTCAAACGTTTTCTTACAAGTCCTTGGAGTGCGGTCACTATTCTGGATTGTGTATTTTTGTGAGACCAGCACCAGGGATAGAAATTATCTAGGTTTACCAGGAGTGCAAACCGTTTGGGATATATATATATATATATATATATATATATATATATATATATATATATATATATAATAGTCAAATCCAACCTGGAATGTACAATGTACTTTTTAAGCTTTAACTTTTAAATTTAGCCCAATAAATACCGTTAAGAGAGAGAGATTGTACAAACCGCTGAAACATAAGAATTTCAATGTACTACACACACACTGTTCTGTGACTAAAGGTTATTTATAAAGACGAATTCTAGAGCAAAATTCAAAGGCTGGAGCTGTCAACCTATAACCCAGGGGTTACTCCCAGTGATAGTTCTTTTTAAAACCATAGCTCGAAATACCCTTTTTGTGCTGTACTGCCCATATTTGTTTCAGATTATTGACATCTGTAATGCATCACTGATGGCAAGGACCACTCTGATCTCTTAAAAAATATTTTCCTTTTTCCTCCTAAATGAAGATTTTTATAGTCTGCCTTTCATACTTTTTTTTATTATTTTTGTTTTTAATACAATAAAAGTGCCCACTATTTGAATTCTTAACTCCAAGTAAGAGTTATCTTTATTCACAATGACCCGTTCTTATCTACATTATCCACACTTCTCTATTCTGCTTATAAATCATTTTTTTAATTTTATTTTTTTGTTCTAAATTATAAATCCACTGTGAAACAACTTGCTTTTTTCACTTTATTTTGATGTTTTGAGAAATTGTATAAAATGAATAGAGATAAGGATGTTTGATATCAAAGTTTTTTTTGTTTTGTTTTTTTTTAGGGGACCTGCAAGGTTCAAAAGGATGTTGGAGATTAAAACTCTTTATTTGTTCTAATAAAATGATTTAGCCTTTAGCATCTAATGCTCATTCCCCAATGTTATACTGCCTTGCGTCCTATATAATCTGTGCCGGTTAATATAGTATTATTTTTATATATAAACATTTTGTTTCTGTGTGTATTTTTTAAAAGTATGTCCTGCATTTATATAAGATTCTTTTTCTGTAAATTGGAGATATCAAGACAGGAATAGCTTAACACAGAATCCATTCTCCCCCTAATGTAATTGCAGGAAATATCGCAATAAAGTGACCAATTTACCCTTTTGTTTGACAATATTAGTTGTTTTTTTAAAATCTTTTTTCATTGTGTATAAGACCTTTAAAAATGTAACCAATAACTTCTCTCCCCTGAAAAACATATTAGCCCATATTGGTGGGTTGGCATTTTCCGTATATGTGCACGTATTACATGATTCTGGTTTATAATTCATCCTGTATTATTGCAGAGTAATGTATGCCTATATTACGTTTTCTAAAGAACCGGTGTTTAAGAGGCAGCTCAGTACTGGCGATAGCATCCAAGCTGTATTGACATACAACTCCAATTTCTCTCAGGCAGTTGGAAGCGGATACTCAGGAATGTCATCAATCATTCATCAGAGGCCCGAAATTTCCCTAATTTCTTCTGAAGCTGATTTTGCATTTAACCCGTTTAATTTTGGGTACACGACCACTGGCTCGCTTTTAGATAATTCATTATTATTTGTTCGACAAAAAGTTTGTTAAATCTAGGGTTGGTTGATTTGGATCCAGAGTTCCCATTGCACAAACTCTTACATAGAATGTTTGTTGCTGTAAAACGCTTATTGCTTTTAAGGTGAGTTTCACGGAACTCAATGAAACCTCAATATGCTGTTTTTTGACTACAAGTCAAACTGTGTAGCATATTTCTGATAACATGCAGATTGTAAAATATACTGTAGATCTGTTTTCTAGTTAACCACTTTATTTTATAGGTAAAAAAGCAAATGTTAATGTGAAATGATTTTTGATTAGCTAAAGACTTTGTTTATAAAAGAAAATAGTCCCCTGTGTATAAAATTACTTGTGACATTATACCAGCTACACAGTGAATGTTACTGTAGCCCATGAGTCGTTTGAGATCTTTACTTAGAAAATACACCCCGTTACAATGCAGCTATTACCAGGCTGGAGAGAATAACTTTTTAAATACCTTTGTAATATACCTTTCTGGAAGTAATAGACTTGTAAAACTGAGCAAAATAAAGCACATTTCAAAAGTTCAAGATTATTCAACACTGGGAGAGTGACAAATCTTACAAGCTGTGTTCAGCTCTTCTTGTACCCGTATGGAATAAAATAATTTAACATTTCGATGTAAAATGCTGGACATTCGTTTTCTTAGCACTATCCTGTATATGGAGTGCTGGCTTCTGTTGTGATTTTTATTATTTTAACTTAGTAGTCTGTTTTGAAGTTAATTCAATTTATTTTCCAGTTTGTAAATCACATCATACTGTATTATAAACAATAAAATTTGAAAATATTGATGTTTCTCAGTTATTTATTTTTTTTTTAGATGGATGTTTCCTGTGTGATTTGCATATTGTGTTCTTAATGTATGTTACCTCCTCTCATAAAAACCACATGTTAAACAACTAAGGCTTAAATTAAAGAGCATTGCATTTCATATATTGTTTGTGCTGCAAGAAATGTTAGAAAATGTATAGATTTGAACTCTGGGCATCGTTATTATGATTGGCATTTATATAGCGCCAGCTTATTCCGCAGCACTTTACAATATTGTAAAGGGGGAAATGGAATAATAAATGAGACAATTACAAAATGTTGGTTCAACGATAGGTTGAAGAGGATCCTGCTCATTAAATTACAGCCTAGAGTAGGAATAGGAAGGGCACTGAGGAGGGCTAGCAACCAAATGGGAAAGTAGCAGAACTAGAGGTGAGAGTGGAGTGTGGCTCTTTAAGAAGGAGCAAAAGATCGGTTTGGAAAAGAGAAGTTACTCTGGAAGGTCACAAGCTTTTATGAATTTTCCCAAAGTTGTAAATTGGAGAACTGCTATTCAGTTACCAAAATTGTATCTTGTATCTTTTGCATCAATTATTGTATTGTTTGTGGTTCTTTGCTGAACTGACTTCTTTTCAAAGATGGACTCCAATAGACTGTTACACCATAAAAAGTGGAAACAGAAATCAGAAAACGGATATAACTGCTGCTAAAATTAAAGGACCACTCTAGGCACCCAGACCACTTCAGCCTAAAGGACCACTATAGTGCCAGGAAAACACCCTCAGGGACCCCCTCCCGTCCAGCTCTGGGGAAAGGAAAGGGGTTAAAACTTACCTTTTTTCCTCCTCCTCCCCCCATTTGGCTGAATGCACACGCGCGGCAAGAGCTGCGCGCGCATTCAGCCCGTCGCATAGGAAAGCATTTACAATGCTTTCCTATGGACGCTTGCGTGCTCTCACTGATTTTCACAGTGAGAATCACGCAAGCGCCTCTAGTGGCTGTCAGTGAGACAGCCACTAGAGGATTTGGAGGATGGATTAACCCATTTATAAACATAGCAGTTTCTATGCTGAAGTGGTCTGGGTGCCTAGAGTGGTCCTTTAATGAAGTGGTCTGGGTGCTTGGTCCAGCTAGGGTTAACCCATTTTTTAAATAAACATAGCAGTTTCTGAGAATCTTATAAATAGGCTAATCCAGCCTCTAAAGAGGTGTTTGCGTGCTTCTCCCTGTGAAAATCAGTGAGAAGACGCAAGTGTCCATAGGAAAGCATTCTGAATGTTTTCCTATGAGACTGGCTGAATGCGCGCGCAGCTCCGGCCGCGCATGCGCATTCAGCCGAAGAGGAGGAGAAGAGGCAGAGAGGAGGAGGAGAGCTCCACGACCGGCGCTGGAGAAAGGTAAGATTTTAACCCCTTCCTCTCCCCAGAGCCCGGCGTGAGGGGCACCCTCAGGGCACTATAGTGCCAGGAAAACAAGTGTTTTCCTGGCACTATAGTGGTCCTTTAAGAACTTCTGGGAGTTCATTTTTATGGAAGACGAGAGAGGCATTTTAAAAAAAAAAAATTCTGATTTATCTCCAAAAAACAGTGTGTTTTTTAGAGAAAGCATATTGCTTCCTCTGGATAACAACTTGCTTTCTCAAGAAAAGATGTTATTTTCTGCAGATAACAAGTTGTTTTCTCGAGATAACAAGTAGTAAAAATATAAAAAATACACAGCTTCTTTGGTTTTCTGTACATTCTTACTTGTATCATTTCCTCTCCTGTTTATAACTGTATGTCCATTTAGTCCTTTTTTCTATTTACACCTTTTGCCTGCAGCTTAGTGTCTTTTACCATCCCGTCAAGATTGCATGCTCGGCCAGTCCTTCACTTTCAGATCATCTAAGGATTGAGGATCATGCCATCGTTTCCATTGCTTTTTGGATAAAGTAGTTCTATTTTTAAAATTATTAATTTGAATATTATTGATTTATATAAACAATGAAACGATTGAAGACTAAAGGAGAGTCTGATGGGCAGGGCCGTCTTTAACGCGGGGCAAACGGGGCAGCTGCCCCGGGCCCTGTCCCTGCTGGGGGGCCCGAGGTAACTACCCTGTTTGCCCTCTGCCCGCAAACTATGGGGGCCCATCGGATGGCCCATGCACTCCGGTCCGCGGTGGCCGGCCGGCCGGCCGGAGTGATAGGAAGGTGCACACTGAGTGTGCACTTCCTGTCAGTCCGGCCGGTGACAGGAAACAGAAACTCCTGTTCCGCACGGAGTTTCTGTTTCCTGTAACCGGACGGACTGACAGGAAGTGCACACTCAGTGTGCACCTTCCTATCACTCCGGCCTGCCACCGTGGACCGGAGTGCAGCTCGGCCACGCTTCAGGGGAGGGGAGGGGAGAAGCTGCAGCCGCCTGAGGCTCTTAACAGAGCGCTCAGGCGGCTGCAGTATTTAAAGGGCCGGCCCCCAGGTGCCACGGCCCACCGGGAAATTTCCCGGTATCCCGGTGGGCCAGTCCGGCCCTGGCCTGAGAAGAGAAAAATGTCCGAGGTGCTTAGGATATCTGTTACACAGCAGGCAGTATACAGAACATGTAGCTTGTGTAGGACAGTAGGTGAAAAGATAGTCAGAGTAGGTAATATGGGGGTTATGCCTCCCTCTAGTTGAAAGGAGGCATAACCCCACAATAAAACCAATGGCAGCCAAACCCCACTTCCAAACCAGCCGTGCTAATAACCCTCAGAAACTAGGAGGCTCTCCAGAGAAATGGCTTGGGCTATCCAACCTAATCACCTAGGCTATCTGCTGCTTCATGGCAGCTAAAAGATTCTATGTAGCTTGCCCTGCGTGTTTAACATAAAGAGTTCCACCTAACACAAATGGACATACAAACTATTCTCCCCTCAATAGAAACAGGAACTAAAAGAATAAGTGCATGGGCATACTAAGTAGCTCAATGCACGTTTCGGCAGTAAATCCTGCCTTTGTCAAGAGCAAATGTGTCCAGGATTAGATTCTGTTATATAGGAGGGTTCGGCTCTCCTCCTTGAATAAATTAGCCAATGGGAAACTTCTGGAGTTTGGGGAACTCCTCCATGGGTAAACACCCTCCTTCGTTTTTAACCCCTTAAGACCGGAGGGCGTACTATTACGACCTATTTTAAGCGGCTCTAAACGCTGCCGGGCGTAATAGTACGCCCTCCGGTCTTTCTTTATTTATTTACCCGGTCGCCGGCGATCCCACTCCGGCGGTCGCGGTCAGGGGACTCCCAGGGAGCCCCCCGCGGCACGTCCGACCCCCTGGAAGCCCCACCGACCATGTGAGAGTGAGGTCCTTGCGAGGACCTCACAATCACATGGCCGGGATAGCTGCCTCCTGCATTGCCAGCAGGGGGACTGCCTGTAATGACAGGTGGTCCCCCTGCTGGCTGGAAATAAAATAAATAAAATTTAAAAAAGTTCAAAAGTGTAAAAAAATAATAAATATATACTTAGATTATATATATATATATATATATATATATATATATATATATATATATATATATATATATATATATATATATATATATATATATATATATATACACACATACATATATATACATGCTGTAAACACATACACTGTCTAGGTGTATTTTTACTATTAATAAATATATATATATATATATATATATGAAGAGTATATATATATATATAAGCTAATATCAAATTACAATACATGTAATTTATATTGATTAAATATATAATGTTGTTTTATATATTATATATATATATATATATATATATATATATATATAATATATAAAAAATTAAATATGTAAATACTAAAAAATAAAATTTTAAAAATAATTAAAAATAATTAAAAATATATAGATGTATGTTATTTCGCTCTTAACTGTATTGTGATATTAATATATATATTTATATATAAAAATAATATGTAGAAATCTAAAATAATTTTTCCTATGGAATAAAAATATTAAATATATGTGTGTGTGTGTATATATATATATATATATATATATATATATATATATATATATATATATATATATATATATATATATATATATATATATACACACACACACATATATTAATTCTACACACATATATATATATATATATATATATATATATAAATAATTTTAACATAGTTAGGTATCTTAATTAATTACAATTAGCGGGACCTGCCTGACAACCCATGCCGAAAGTAAAGGGAATTTACTTTGCTAGCACTATATTTAACCCTATAACTTTCCAAGACACCATAAAACCTGTACATGGGGGGTACTGTTCTACTCGGGAGACTTAGCCGAACACAAATATTAGTGTTTCAAAACAGTACAATGTATTACAACGATGATATCACCAGTAAAAGTTAAGTTTTTTGCATTTTTCACGCACAAACAGCACTTACACGGACGATATTATTGCTGCGATACTTTTACTGGCGATATCATCGCCCTGTTTCCCCTGAATAAAATGATATATATAATAAGGGTGGGTGTATTTAATATGAAAGAGGTGAATTACGGTTGGACAGACATGTAGCGCAAATGCCAGGTTTTGTTTACATTTTGTTTCGTTCACAACGTGTACATTTGGCTCCGTCCTTAAGGGGTTAAGGACTGAGCCAAATGTACACGTTGTGAACAAAACGTAAACAAAACCTGGCATTTGCGCTACATGTCTGTCCAATCGTAATTCACCTTTCACATTAAATGCACCCCTTATTATATATCATTTTATTCAGGGGAAACAGGGCTTTCATTTAATATCAAATATTTAGCTATGAAACATAATTTAATATGAAAAAATTGGAGAACATAAGATTTTTTTATTTATTTAGTTCTACATGATATTTTAACTGTCAGTGTCATAATACTGTTTGCTTTTACTGCAATAAAATATACATATTTGTATTCAGCAAAGTCTCACTTGTAAAACAGTACCCCCTATGTACAGGTTTTATGGCGTTTTGTGAAGTTACAGGGTTAAATATAGCACGTCTACAGTAAGAACAATCAGAATGTGGAATTCTCTGCCTGAAGAAGTGGTTTTATCAGAGTCCATACAGATGTTCAATCAGCTACTAGATGCATACTTGCAAAAACAGAATATTCAAGGATATAATCTTTCAATGTAGGGTAA